ATAATAATAAATTTATTATTATTATTATTATTATTATAACTGCTTTATTTATTGATTTTCTTATTAATTCTTAATTTGTTTATTTTTTCATCTTATTTTGTGTTAAAAAATAAAGAGATTTGTGAAAAAATTGGAATTTTTTAAACAAATCTTTTCTTGTGTAAAATCTGTTGCGGGCCAGCCTCACCCAGACTCTGCCTCCAGTGGCCCCTAGGTAAATTGAGTTTGAGACCCCTGCTCTAGCTACTGTCTCTCTGCATATGTGTAGACAAAGTTGAACCTTTACTTCCTTCTCTAAAGTACACACTTTTTGTGTCAATGAACAGAGGATTGAGGTGTGTCAATCTGGGTAAGGAGATTGAGTAAACTATGTATTACAGATACAGCAAGCAAGAGTGAACTGTTTGCATACGAAAAATCACAAAAATTACACTGAATCTTTAAGAGTGAGATGACTGTTGTTGTTTAGTCGTTTAGTCGTGTCTGACTCTTTGTGACTCCATGGACCAGAGCATGCCAGGCCCTCCTGTCTTCCACTGCCTCCCACAGTTGGTTAAATTCATGTTGGTCGCTTCGATGACATTGTCTGATAGTCTGATTTAAATCAAATCATGTTGGTCGCTTCGATGACACTGTCTGATAGTGTGATTTAAATCAAATCCACCGTGAAACATGCAATGAATCTTTGGGTGGAAAAAGGTCTTCCAACCAAATCATGACCTTGTGTGAGAAGAGAATGCCAGTGAGATGCTGTAAAGCAACATGAAAATTAGATGGATTTTCACATCCCTTCTCTGGAGTACTTCCCATTGAAATAAGTCATTTCCAGTAAACAATTTCAAGTTTCCAACTGTATTTTCATTCTCCCCAGGTTCTTTTTAATTCCAACTGTATTTTCATTCTCCCCAGGTTGTTCTTTTTAGGTTTTTAAACATATAGCATGAACCTCCATTTGCCACTAAAGCTAGAAACTCCCTTCCCACAATTCACAGTTATCAGATGCATTCGGCATACATTTGAAGTTGCCTCTGCATGACAAAGAGAAACAAACTTGAAATCAAGAGACCGGATCTCTTTGGCCAAATGTAGTGGTAAGCGAAGTTTTTCAAGCTACAGATTTTTGAATGGCCTTAAAACAGGGATGGCAATCTGAGTGGGGCAAAGGGCCATTTCTCACATTTGCCAGCAGCATTAAGGCTAGGCCTCTGAAAGGTAAGGGACCTTAGGATAAAGGTATAGTCAAAAAGACTAATTTGCTCCTTTGCTGTTCATTATTTTTAATCTTTCAAATAATGTCATGTGTTGTAAAAGTTACTATGATTATTAACTGAAAAAGTAGTTTCATTTATAAGGGGCGTAAACTGAAAAAGACTCCTTATGACCTCTAACAGCTAACATTTTTTTAAAATCTTTTTGATTTACAGTACAGGAAGCTCCTCAGAAAATGGAAAAACCTCCTTCCATGCGGCCCAGTGAGCACAGGGGGACCTTCTGAGAAAAGAAGTGTTTTAAAAGGTGGATTCAAAATCAATGGGATGCTATGGAATAGGAATGCCTATTATGCCCTGCACATGGCTAAACGTTGCCCACAGCTGCCTTAAACACCTTCCCACCATTGGTTTCGAGCAGAGACCGATGATCCATGGGCTGAATACATACTGTTGTTGTGTGCAATCAAGTTGCTTCTGAATTCTGATGACTCAAAGTTTTTTGAGGTAGTGCCAGATGTTGAAGGAGAGGTTTACCACTGCTGCCACCCTGACCTGATTATGCCAGACTGTCCCCAAACTAGGAATTCCTTACTGGTGCAGTGTCTAACTGTGATAACATTACAGTATTATATTTTATTAGAGATTCTTAACACCCATAACCATGAAGGAGTCACTTGGGGGGCGGGGGAGTGCCACTGAAAACATTCTAAAAAATTTTCTGTCTCTCTTGGACTGTTATAACCAGTAATAATGTGTATCTAAGGCACCTCTACTTCATCCTTGAGATCTTCCTCAGAAGCCTAGCTTCAGGTGGTTCAAAAAACCGAAACAGAAGGAGTGAATACCACAGTGAGGGCCTTCTCAGTTGCTGCATCCTGGCAGCAGAATGCTACAACAGTTGGGTAAGTTGCAGATTTCAGGTTGTTTTTTCATACTATTTTACCGTGTTTTTGTCATCTTCTATATTTTATTACGGTACACTTTATTTCATATTCACAAAATGCCCTAAAACTATGTTATTGGGTGGCCATATATAAAATATAGCAAAAGAAAAAATGATTCTGTCCCATGTATGGGTTCACTCAACAGACAGGTTCATTCAGCTGCCAATCAGCCTGGCTGATTCCAGTACTGAGGGGTAACAATGCAATTCTACCTAGTTCACATGGCTAGCAAATCTGATTACCTTCCTGTCTTCTCTACAATATACATCTTGGGTCTCTTGCTCCTGAAGTAGTCTGCTCTAAAGAGACCCTGGTGCCAGCTAGTCTTGCCCACTTTGGTGCCTTGCTTACAGCACCATTTGTTCTAGGGTTCACCACATGTACAAACTACAAAGCTGGGGAAAAGGTGTTTTTTAAATGAGAACATCCATATATCTCAACTAATCGGGATGCAGAATGCTGTAGTCCCAACAACTAACATATTTAAGCTCTGTTATAATTCTACTCAGTTATTTTTTGTGGCAGCATCATTCTCCTCGCTGTTGGTTATGTTGGCCATCACAGATGTGAATTGTAGACCAACGGGGCAGGGTCAAACTTTCTCTATTGCTTGTATACATTGTAGTCATTCCCTACTGCTAGTGGTTCCCAAACTTTTTCAACACAACTCCCCCAATGCGATACGTTGGGTGACCGCGGGAGACGTGGGGGAAGCCTGGGCATAGTAGTTTCATGGATTCCACAGAAGTACTTCCAAGGATTCTGCAGCACCCTGGCTGAGTGTCACACTGCCCTGGGCTGCTGCGGTACACGGTTTGGGAACCACTGCCTTATTGCCATTATCAGTGATCACTGAATGGGGTCTCTACATTCAAAAGCAGTTTCAAGGGGAACAAGAGGAAAGGAGGACCGCTGCACTCATGACCTGCTTGCGAACTACCCAAAAGCATCTGGTTAGCCACTGTGGGAAGCAGTGGAAGGATCTTTGTCTAGAAGGCGGACCACCTGTCTGATCTGGCAAGGATTGCTCTTCTGTTCTGAAGTGAAAAGAAGCTTGACTTTGAAATGTGGCTGAGGTTGAAATGGCAATATGTTCTGGCTGGCTGCTATCAATAAAGGCAAAAGTGGCCCTCAAGATGCCACCTCCAGTCAGGAGCAAACAGTATGTCACTGTTATCAGAACTCTACCAGAGCTGGTCCTACTATCGGACAGAGTGAGATGGCAGATTTTAGATGCCATGAAACAGCGGGAAAAAATCAGCCATTGAATGCATTGGTAATCATTCTTTTTAAATGGGATGGGAAGGAAGGAACTATTGGGATTTTCTGTCTCAGGCAAAAAAAAAAAGGGTTTGGCCAGCACCAGGAGAAGATTACAGTCATGCATGGAAATGCTCTTTTCTCCCCACCCGGTCAAGAACAGCAAGATTTGGCAAAGACAAGATATTAGCAACTACTACTCTCGGCACAAATATCAAAAGCAGACGGAAGGTGAGACTTCTTACCAGCTCCTTGCGTTTCCACCAGAGATGGAAAAAGGCAGAGGGGGAAAAGGTTAAAAAAGAGGAGGAGGAGAAGGAAAGGGAGGGGGGAGAGAAAGGGAAGAGAAGACAAAAAATGTATTAGAAGGTTGTCACATGCACTACACACCAAAGTTCAAACATATATGCTTTATAAGAAAACCCATGTCTGCCATGTTTCACCCCACACTTAAAAACCGAATTATCACCACCTTTGGTGGGACCCCTGAAATGGCCACAGCAAAGGAGACTCCTTGAGAAGGGAGGTGATAAAGTCATGTTTTCCCATGTGCCATGCAAGGTCGCCAAGTGGTTATTGGGTTAGAGTAACAGCAGAAAGATGTTAGGTTAAGCTGTCGAGCTTGTATATTTGGGGGCAGAGGGTGGGTACTAGGAGTGATCCAAATGTTAGTTCTGACGAAGAACCCAAGTGAGGACCGTATCCTTTTGTTCCTCTCCTAGCCTGGCACCGAAACTAACACAGCCACATTCTCTAGACTTTCTAAATAACTCCCATTTTGAGCCCAGCCTCGAATAATTTAGAGACAACCTGTGCTTTTGATGCAGCTTCAGATGGTGCCCCCAGTACATCAAACGCAAAAGGCCCAAGACTTCTAAAGAGGCGTCTGGAGGTAATTATGGAAAGCAGACGTGGGAGGAAGAAAGCCAGAGGAAGATCTGTCTTTCTCTTGAAATCAGCTTCCAGTTTCTAAGCTGTAACATAACTATCTCGCTATGTCGGGGATGGGGGTGGATAGCAAAAATGGAAAGAAAACTGCAGAGGGATGCTGTAATGGCTCATGCTCTCCCTCCCTTTGCCAACAAATACACTCAAAGGCCAAGAAGAGCTGGTGACAGAACGATATAACTCAATTCCCACTGGAAAGACAGGTCTAAAGCTACAGAGATACCAGGATGGCCTTAACTGTGCTTGTTTTTTCCCCCATCTGTTTCCACCAAAAGGGGAAATCCCTTTGGAAGAAGCAGTCTCAGTCCCCACCTGCAGCCATTTTCTTTGTCCTTCAATGTCCAGACAGAAGGATATCTCGGGACACATTTCTTCAAATATAAAAGCACTCTGTCATGAGAACTTCAGAACAGGCTCATAAAGGCCTTCAAAGGGAGAGAATGATTTTCAAGCACTGGATATCTGGAGCCTGCCTGCATTCCTTCCTTTCTTCCTTCCTGCATTAATTCCTTCCTTCTTTCCTTTCTGCATTAATTCCTGCATTGAGCAGGGGGATAGGTCCCTTCTTATTCAATTATTCTATGATTCTAAATTGCTTTCAAGGGCAGACCAACCTTCTGATTTCCCTAAGTGATGCTTCTCAGTTTGTTTTACTGGCATTCCCTACCCTTCTTACAGCCAGTTGTGTGCATTCCCAAAAGTACTCAGAGCATTTTGGCTCTTATCCTAGTGCAGACAACTATCAGAGCAAGCCAATGGCTTCCTTGGGTCTCAGCACCTCAGGGGAGGATGAGACATACTGGGCCTCTATTACTATTTCAGCCAACTGGTAATATTTGCCTGACCCCGTATAAAATGATCATTTCTCCTTTAGGACTGCTAGTCCTATCAAGTATCTGACTGGCAAGATGGCCTAGAAATCACCAGCACAGAGTAAAATTGGGAAGGAATAATGTGTGGCTTTGTGGATACTGCTGGATTGCAAGTCCAGTGGTCCTTCCTCATTAGCTACGCAGTTTAGCGTGGATGGCAGGTGCAGTCGGACAAATTCTCCACAAAAAGCCACCTAACTTTTAAACGAACTGGAAGCCTCAGTCTGCTTTATCACAAACACTCAGATCTCAAAAATCCAAGCTGCACTGTCTATTGCTCAATACCCAGAGAATTGGAAAACAATTTAAAGTGCATGCAGATGAAATGTAAAGAGACAGAACCAAACGTATCTCACAGCAATACAAGCCTCTTGTATGAACCTATCACTGCAACACATCGGCATTCTGTTTGCTGGTATATGATCGTGCTCTTTCCCCATCCTGGCTTGCTGCAGCCATCTTTTTCCCCTGCTCTTCGTCTGGCTGAGGAACAAAGAGCTCAGCAGAAAAATGCCTGACATAGGAAGAGCCTGTCCTTCTTCATGCTCTCCCACTCACTTTCCTAGTAGCTGGCAATGAGGGGAGAAAGGAGGTGCTGAGTAGAAAGCACCGAAGGGGGAGGGGAAAAGCGCCTCCTCATTCGGCCAACCCTCAGTTTTGCTCCTCAACAGCGGGAGCAGCTGGCAGGAAAGAACACGACACATACCAAGCCTAAATTCACTGGTGTGCTGTAGCCATAGGGATGTATCAGGAGAGGCTCATGGTGCCACGAATGCACTTGGTATTCTCTGTTTATATATTTGTATACACTGTTCTGCCGTGGATCCTCCTTCGTTAGCTTCTATACAATTACTCTGATGTCTTACTGAAATCTACAGGACCCCTTTAAGCACACAATCTCACTGATTTAAACTGGCATCCATCTCTTTGTTGAGGCGTGATGACTGAGACATTATCCATTGCTTCATTTGCTACTTTGTTTTTTTGCTTACAAGCAAGATCACAGCACCTTTTTACTTCCTATGTAGCTTAGCTTCTCCATGTTGGTTTCTGTTTTATCATCATTATAGAAGAGGCCTAAGGACAATATTCGATGCAGCAGCAGACAGTGGCATATACAGTATAACGTCTCACCAATGGCAAGCTGCAAGGCAGCTAAAGGCATGGGCCTGTCTGTGGCAAAGATTTATGTGCAAAGGAAACAAACAAAAAGGTAGGATCCACCTCTCTGACCAGGATGGGGCTGTGAAAGCAACTTCCCTCTGGGCTTGCAAGACAGTGAGCTGACAATCACAACAGACACAGTCCTGCCAAACCTAGGTTTTCTGTGTACTATCAGTTTAACAATGAGAGAGAGAGCCGGTGGACCTGGGCATGACCTTCTTGTGGAAATCATTGGGAATTTAGAAAAATGCTTGTCTCTGGCAAATTCAGGTTCCTTAAAATAAAGCATGAGAAAGTAAAATAATGGGGCAATTGGGAGCCTCTGCTTTTGTTTCTACCTCTGCAGTTCTAACATGACGAGGATGAGGATGAAATATTTCCCAAAATTAAAAGATAAACAAGCTGAAATGGGGTTTGAGCCTACTAAGAGTGAACAGATTGTGCCTTCCACTTCCACCACACATCTTCTGGCTTCTACTCCCTCTCATCCCTCCTCTTTAAGCCACTCACAAATCTCCCAGAATACATTTGTGTAACATGAGCCTCCACACAAACAGGGCTGAAGGGGGTGGGGAAATCATCTCGAAATGTCAATGCAACAATTTTATGCAGCCAGCTCTGCACAGGACTTGGAGATATATGCAATTCAAATTTCTGAATACCATAATCAACAATTAACAGATATCTTTGTATGTAAATCAGGTGCTTTGAATTTTTCCCACCTTGATTTAATAGACCAACAGAACAACAAAATCAGATTACAAGTCTTCTAGTTGGGAAAAGCTGCTGCGGAGAAGGCTGTTTCAATTTTTTTGTTTTATTTTATTTTATTTTATTTTATTTGCTGTCCTACCAAATCATTTGTTATCACACAATCAAGGCACACTGTTATGCTTTCAAAGGTTTGGCATCAGAATCAGTTGAGTTCTTAAGAATATGCTACTCTGGTTTTCTTCTGCTTCTTTGTTAAAAGATCCTGATTTTAAGCTTGGCCTGCACTGCAGATCTAATACAAACAAGAGATGTGACTTTTTAAAATTAGAAATGTATGTTTCACACTACATGTTTTACACTAACAGGGCTGAGAAGAGCAGCAGGACAGGAATCCATCACAAAAATCATGCTAACAGTTTAAATTTAAACATATTACCTCTGAGACCAAGTAACAGACACACAGTCATGGTTTTATCACTTAATGCAGATGCAGTGACCATTTCTGAAATTACTGTTTGCAATCAGTGAGCCACCCAGGCTGATGAACGTAGGCTCCCTTCTCCTTTCCTCCACAACATAAATCCCATCCTCCCTTTTCCAGGGATGGGGACTTGAGTTGCAAAATTTAAGTCAAGTTGAACTTAAGTCACACTGGTGATCGACTTGGACTTGATTCAGAATTTTTTTTTTCAATGATTCAGACTTGACTTGCAATTCGGAACCCACCCACCCCTCCCTTTTTTCTGGGGGGAAAAAGCTTGTTTTTCATAGGACATCGGACATGGGGCCTGGGACAAGAGACTTGGTACCAAAGACTTAGATTTGGACTTGGGACTGAGATCCGAAAACTTCCTTGCATCCCTGCCCTTGTTGTCAGCTTGAACCACAGCTTAGTATTACTGTACTTCAGTGTCAATGCTAACCACGGCTTACATATCCACCCACAATTTTGGGAAAGAAGATTTCAGTTGCTCATAGCAGTGATGGGGCAAACCAAGAAGCATGTCTTAAACCAGGAAGCATCATAGGCACCACACAGGCTCCAGAGGCTGGCACCCTAAATAGAGATTTCTCAGCCAGGCTTCAGTCAGCAGGGCTCTAATACCATACATTTTATTCTGGAATCTGCCTGCTTTGTTTGTAATGTAATGTAACTTGATGCAAGCTGCCGATACCATATATAGGGCCTAGGGGTACTAATCCACATACATACGTTGTTTTTTAAAGTGTTGTTTCTTATCACGTTGTGAACCACCCAGTGTGGCCTTGGTAGCTAGATGGGCAGTACAGAAGATGAATGAATGAATGAACAGGAGTAGAAAAATGAGGCCTAGAAACACAGCTATTTTCTTCTCATTTTTCTCTTACACAACTCCTTAAGTAAACAGAACTCTTTGCTTTGAGCAGAAGGGGGGGCTGTATTCCCCAAAGCCTGTAACTCTATGTTCCTTGCCTTTCTCTCTTCTGTGCAATAGTCCGATGAAAAGATAACAGTGCCAGGAATCACACATAACATAGATCTCAAAACTATTTTTCAATTTTGTTCTCAATGACCGTTCAATTCCCCCCATTGTCATAAGCATTATAAACAAATGTTTTTAAAGGGCTTAAAGAAAAGTGCAGATTAACCCACATGCAAACACAAAAATTCTAGAAGCATGCAGAAGAAAAGAAGAAGCATTTTTAATGGTCTTACTTGTGCAAACTAGTGTCCAGGCAAGGTGGTGTGAAGGGTGAGGGGGGAAGAGCATTAGGAAAACGCAGGTAAGTACATGTGAGCAACAGTTTAATAAAAACAAAGTTAAACAGTTATTAGGCAAATGTCCCAAAACTTAATGTGTCTTCAAAGGCAGCAGCAAAGGAAAAAGCCATAAACGAAGTAAAAAAAATTGCTATTGTGTCCATCAGAACTGGATTAGTGGCCCTGAAAGATGTAGTGATGATACAACACTGAAACAGCAACATTAACACATACACAAATATCTTGGGAGATATTACTACTATCCTCCTTATAGCAACTCATAGCTGCAACTAGAGTTGGGTATCAACAGGAAAACTGATGGCTCATGATGGTTCATGGGCCTGTCTCTGGCAGAGATTTATATGCAAAGGAAACAAACAAAACCATAAACCATGAACCACCAGGACCCCCCCCTCTGAAAAACTTCGGATTCATGTTGGGGGGACCGCCCACCCATTCCCTTCATTCTGCCCCATCATTTCCCTACCTGGTCCTGGCACCTCTGCCATAATCAGAGGCAGCAGGCGGCTCCAGAAAGGGAATCCCGCTCACTGTCTTTGTGCAGGCGCCCACCTATCAGCTGGGCGGTAGGTGCACAAGCAGAGGCAGTGGATCTGACTCAAGGAAGGGAAGCCAACTGCTGCTTCTGACAATGGCAGTGATGGCAGGACCAGGTAGAGAAGTGATGGGGGCAGTGGGAAGGGGGTCGACAGCCATCCATTTTGCCAAAGCAAAATGAAGCACCAAAGGGGGAAAAATTCATAGGTTCATTTTGCTTTGGCAAAACGGGTTTGAACCAGCCTGATTAATTGGTTTTTCTGGTTCATGGTTTGGTTCATGCCCATCTCTAGTTGCAATTATAATACACCGTGACTTTATCACATAACAAAACACAGACAGAACTTCATTACGGAATTGGAAATAGACAAGTGAAAATTCTATTTATCCCTTGGGTTTATTTTATTTGTATCATTTACAGCCACCTTTCTCCCAGTACAGGGACCCAAGGTGGCTGGCTCACAATGTCAAAACATCCTCAAATTCTATTCTGAGAACTTCCATCTGTCACCTGAAGTGGAACCTTCATTTTACCACTTTTGATCTTTACCATCTCATGCCCCCGTGTCTGTCAGCAAGGTGAGGGATTTCCTACTACACCAAGCCATTTTGCCAAGCTCTACCCTTAGGATATATGTATATTTTAAAGGGCTGTGCCTCTGTTATCAGGCTGTCTGTATTCTGTGATTCCTTGCAATCTCAACAAAATTTAAGAAGGTACTGTTCCCCACTTCCACTTAAAAATTGAAAACTTCTTCCAGGAAGCAGGAGGAGAGAGCAGGGGGCAAGGAGGGAGAGTCATTGTTCTTGTTTTCAATAGGCAGGTGGACCAAATAGAGTCGCTTGAGGTGATATGCCATCTGAATGCAAGGACTGCACCAAATCATAATTGAGAACTCTACTGACCTTAAGCCCACTCCAAATGAGCCATGTAGACAAGCCCTCAGTTTCTTTTCTTTTTAAAAAATCTGATTTTTTTTTAGCCCTTATACCTGCAAATATAGACGTTGAAAGTATGTGAACAATACACAAGGGAAGGTGGTGGTGGTGGTGAAATTGTAACAGAACTCCAGTGCCTGCAGTATATGGTCTCATTGTCCCACCCAAGTGAAATCCTCCATAAAGACAGAAGACACATAAATGTGCTCTCATGGTACTGGGTGATGATTTAAATCTCTGCATAAGTTGAAACATGACTCCCCAACACATATACTAATATGAATTTCTTTAACAAAAAACTTAGCAAAGTAAGGTGTGCTGTCACTCCACAGACTCACTGACAGACAAACATAATTTATCACAGGACTCTATCCGCATTGGTAGGAGCAATGGGCATTTGGGCATTATGGCTCAAATACATCTACATCAGGGAAGATTATACTAATGGCTATTTTAAAAATTAGCATTTGCATTCAGTATACCTCACTCAGGCAAACAGCAGAGCTCTCACTCACAATTCAAGTGCCTCCCTGCCTCTTCAAATAGCACAGGGGCCTCAAGCCTTTGGACTATTGGATGTTTTGGACTACAGTTCTTAGGAGCCACAGCAAAGGATTATAGGAGTTGTAGTTGTACAGCAATGTACAACAATGGAAGGCCAAAAGTCTCCCGTACTGGATATTATGTACACATGAAATCATGGACGGAAAAGAAAGTTAGAACTATGAAACCTCCACATTTCCTCAAGAGATACAGCAGTCTCAGGATGACAGATTTCTACAACCCCTCTGTATTTCAAATTGTCAGATAAAATTAATTTTCTAGATTTTATGATCTGATTGAATGAATCTTTATTGCTGCAAAGAGTTGAAAGTGAATGATTAACTTTTAATTGTCACATTCCACACTGATCCTTTTCTAGACTAAGCCAATGTTTGAGAAATACAATGTTTCTCACTCATCAGAAACAAACTGTGTTATTAAGGAAGTTGACTCAACATTTGTTAAGGAAACAGTTACTAAAGTTTTAATTACACCACTCCTCCTTTAAAAAAAATTCTGTCCCTACCTTTTAGACATTCAGGTCCCATCTGCTTTCTCCTTCTCGTACCTGGACCCTGAAAACGGCTCCTCTCTCCTACACACTTGTGGCATATACTGCAACCACCCACACAGTCCATATACTGTGAGGTCTTCTACCTAGGTCCTACACGTAGATTTTTCAATGGGTTCTTTAGGGGAGGACTTACAACTGCGTGAACTGAACATTTTGGAAGAGCAGGTTGTGTCAAGAGCCTATGAGGATCAGGTCAGAAGAAAGTAGCAACTGAACAATCCTCTCAAGACACAGAGAGAGATCCATTTCTCATTTAGAGGCAGAGGTCAAGAGCACAGGTGTCTGAAAGTGACAACTGAACCAATCACGAAATGAAAAACATGCACTTTTTCCCCCTGAAACTAATCCAAATAACACTTCCAGGAGACAAGCTTACATTTTGCCACCACCACAGCAGCAAATCAGGCTGCTAGCAGCAGGAGCTGCAGCTCTCAGCAGGCAGCCAAAACTAAAGAGATGTGTTCTTCCTTAAGATGAAGCTCTAACCTTGGTGCTGTAATACCCAAGAACGGAGAAAGTCTGTGAACAGAATGATCATCTACTGTGGCCTCTCTCTGAAACTGGCAAACCTAATGGTTTCCCGCCTTTTGCCTTTTGCAAGACCACTGGGGGAGTAGAGGCAGCCTTTTCTCCCAGCAAATGCTGCTGCTTCTTTTTTAAGAATCAGGTACTGCTATCCATGAAAGTGGCTTAGAGAAATCAAAGCACATCGCAGGAAGAAGGAGAATTTAGCAACCAGAGAAATGCCTTTCCCCCACCCCAAAACAGAAGAGCAATGCGGGAATAAATGCACCAAGATTTAAGTAATCAAAGCATCTGAAATGTTCTACTAAGGGCTGGGTTACAAGAAAAGATGATAATTGTGAGGAAAGGTGAACTAAAGGGGCAAGGAATGGTTTTCAGAAGTAGGACATCAAAAATTCAAGCTCTGCTTTGTAACCATAAGGGTTAGATTTATTTTTTCCACCTAGGTGCTACGATTTGTTATCACTGCAAGGGTACAAAGGGAGTCAGTCATACAACAGGAGAACAACACATAAAGGTAGGCAGCTGGGTGGGAATATAAAACATTGAAGACACTGCATTGCAGACAGGGAATTTCTCATATGAAGTCCTGCTTCTGCCAGGATCGCTTTCGGCAAATGATCACCTCTTGGTCTTCGACCTACAGTACAGTATGTGGCTAATACTCTGCATCCTCTGTCTCTTTCAGGAAGGACACAGAACCACTGTGCTCTTTAGCCATTCTAAGACAGATGATAATGTTTCCCTCTTATTCCATACATTAAAAACACAGACATGTCACTATCCAACTTTGACGTCCCAGATTAGCCAGTGTAGTCCAAGGTACCGATCATAAGAATCTGAATCTGAGTCAAAATTAAACACAGCTAAAGACTTCTTGGCTGGATTTGAACACAACAACAAAATGCTGTTTGAGAGTCCGAAAACCCAACCACTGATTATTTCCATGCTGGCCCTGTTCTCTGGAACAGTCATCTTCTGTTCCAATCACTTCTGATGGAAAATTCAGATAATGATATTGCTAAATCACTGCAAATGTTTTCTGTGTTGCCATCCCTTGTTTTTTCCAAACTTAGTTGATGACAATTTGTTTTCCAGTTTTAAAAATACCCAGTTACAGCATCACCAAGCCCAGGATCTTTTCAAGTCTTCCTATGTTTTTAATTAAACATTTCCTATATGCGAAATCCTGACTACAGTACTTTTTTGCTTCCTACAGCTGACAGCCAGTGGATTGGTAATGAATGAACTCTTAATTACCCCAATATTATTTTTTTCCCTTTTCCTTTTTAAAACAGAGGAACAGTACTATTTCACCAGAGGGCTATTTTTTAAAAAAATTGAAACCTTTCCTTTCCTCAGAGAAGAAGAAAATGATTCTGAGACAACTTAATGAAGTCCTGCAGAGCGTTATAATCTAATTAAGTTGTCCCATTATAAACCACCCAGAGAGCACTAGGAGCCACTGTATAAGTCAAAGCAACAATAATAACCCAACACATCCTTGGCTGACCTGCCCATGTTGAGCAGTAAGGTCTGAAGAGGACTTCTCTACACATTCACTTGAACACAAACAGAAACTTCTGCATGCTCTATAATCTTGATGTGACTGGGGACTTCTCTGTACTGTACTTTCAAGTATTCCTGCTCAGTGTGAAGTGGGTGAGACTACGCTGAGGTTGGGATGTTAGGCTCGGGTAATGTGCATGCTTCTTCATGCCTTGATATTGTCTGTTTGCTGATTGGGACTTACATGCTCTTGACCACAAGCCTGGGAGAAATGTCTGGTCTAGAGATAGAACCAAAATTTTGAAGCCATCCATTT